GCCGAAGGCCGAGGGGGGGTCTTGCCTGCACCTTTCTCCATCCTCCCCTTCCTCCATCCTCCCCTTCCAACCCATGTCTGCCTGGTTCCTCGCTTCATCATTACCTGGGCAAGCAGAGTGAGGAGAGCTGGCAGCCCCGGAGGCTGAGCCGTGGGCTGGTCACACAGCTCCTTGCTGAGGACCACCTTCCCCCGGGGGGAGCGGGAAGGCCCCCGGCTCCCCCACCTCTGCCCACCAGAAGGAGACCAGTGGCTGTAGCCCCATGGGTGTCCGCAGGGCAGCTCATTTCCCCAAGCAGAGGGACTTTGCAGGTCACTTCTGGTTTGCACCTTCTCCCGTGGGACAGAGAAGCTGGTGCTCTTCATCCCTCCCTGTTTTAATTTGGGCTTTGGGTTTTTTTGGACCCCTTTGGCCAGAGGAAGCGAAGAGGAAGCTCCAGATGGAATTAAGTAAATCTCTTGACACCTGAGCAATGGTGTGTTTGTCAGAAGTGCAGGACGGTAGAAAATAGCCAGAGCCGCTTCCTGCACTGCCTGTGCGGGTGTGACTGCTGCGTGCTGCTGCACGGCTCAGCCCCACTCTGCCTCCCCCTCACTCCGGGGTGCTCCGCTCTGTGCCCCACGGCTTTGCCGTCCCCGCCGGTGCTGCCCCGACCCTCTGGGTCACCTCGTGGTGGCACACTGAGCTGCTGCAGAAATTAAGGCCTGATGTAGCTCTTTGATTGGCAAGATAGCTGCTGGCAAGGCGAGGTGCATTGGGGTTCCTGGTTGGGGCTCTGAGGGCTGTGCGTGTGTCCTGGCCGGCAGTGTCAACCTGGGGTCATGGTGGAGCAGGGGCTGGTTTGCAGACGTGCTCCTGGTTTGCTGCCACGCCACCGTGGTCGTCGTGCCCCAGTCACCAGCCTTCAGGTGACTGCACCGGAGAGACAGGTGGGGGGAAGATGGCGGCGGTGTCAGTGGGGCCAATTGCTCCCACGGGAGATTTTGGTTCGAGCCCGGGATGGAAGGCACACCCTCTGCCTCCGAGGGTGCTACCTGAGCTCCCACACGCGAGCGGGAGCCATGACTTTCTGTGTGACAAGGGCTAGTGCCTGCTGTCGGGTGGGAGGTGTGGCAACGGGGCCGTTGGGGCGCAGCAGCTGCCCTGGGTGCCTTTTCCACATCCATGCCCTCTGCTCCCACCACCTTCTCGGGACGAACTGGAGTGGTGTGGCTCGGGGCTGTGCTCGGCTGGGGCACCGGCGCAGGGCTGGGGCGGGCGCTGCTGGGGATGTATGGACCCTCTCGCTGAGTTGCCCATCTGTGTTTTCACCGGTGGGCACACCCAGTGCCAGCTGTGCTGCGCACCCATCTGCTGCAGGACCTGCTCCCACTCTGTCTCCTTGGGCAGCGCATGGGGAGACCTCTGAGCCCCTCTGTGTGCTCCTGACCACGTGGCGGGTGCCAGGACTTCGCTTGCCCCTTGGCTTGCTGGGCAGGAGGCCGGGAGCAGCTCAGCAGGCTCCACAGCTCTCCCTCCATCCCAGTGCTGGGCGGGAAGGTGGTGCAGGGGCCCGGCGGTGAGGCTGATGGGCTGCCCATTCTGGGAGGTCTTTCGTCTGTCATGTTTCTCCTGCTCTGGCCTTGCATTTGCCTCTAAGGCTGCAAGGAAACATCACTCCTAGTTTGCCCTTGCTTCCGCTCACCAGGCAATGCCCTCTCCCGGGCAGAGACCAACCTGTGTTTCTTGCAGCCTGTCCTCCTGCTAGCAGTGACCCTACCAAGCACTGCTCTGCCCAGCTCCCCGACCCGAGCCCGAGCTCTCTCCGGTGGCTTCTGACCTGATGGTGTCCCTCTGGGAGCACCAAGCCAGGAGAGGGGATCCCAGCCCCTCGCAGAGCCCAGGCTTGACTGGGGTGGGCTGCTGCTGTGCGGGCTGCTCTGGGGAGAGCTAAGCAAAGCGCATTCCCCGCAGGTAGTGAAGATGTCCGGCAGCGACCCTGAGCGCCCCCAGTTCCTCTTCGTGAAGGTGCTGGCAAGCCGGGGGCGGCTGGAGGCGGTGACCCAGCAGATGGGCTACCACCCGCAGTACCTCGACAGCTTCCTCAAGACACAGCACTACCTGATGCACATGGACGGCCCGCTGCCCTTTGACTGCCGGCACTACATCGCCATCATGGTGAGCCCCGCTGAGAGCTGCTGGAGGGGACGGGGGGCTCCGCTCAGCCCCGCGAGGGCACCCTCTCCTCC